AAACAGAAAATGGCAAGAAAAACGAAGCTTAATATCTCTCTAATTCTTTTAACTCCTAGTTTTCTCCATTTTCACAGGAGGTTCAAAAAATCATAGTTCCACTGTGTTAAGACAACACAGGAAGCACAACAACTCCTATAACGAAGACGAGTTCCAATAGAAGGTGGACCTATGAAGTGGTGAACTTTAACAAAAGGAATAAAATTAAAGCAAAGTTAAAAAACACTGCCTGTGTGATTAATGTTTGCTTTGATAAGGTTATAATGCTTCCCATGCGTCTAAAGATACAGGCAACATTGTGCTTCCCACTGTTCTAAGAAAATGAAAGTCAGTGAATGGCTAATGTATTTGGACTGGTAGTCGCAGATAATTACACGGTAAACTAGGCCACTCCCACCTACACTGGCAGCACAATGTCATCAACTGTACATGCGACAAAAGCTCTATAAGCCCCATTCTTCCCCCTACCCATCATTGATCACAGCCTCTATTTTTTGAAGACTACATTAATCTTGTAACTTGATCCCCCTATTATTACATCCTCCACAACTTACCTTGAAAGCCATTCCTTTTGCAGGAAATGTCAGGAACTGATTTCCATCAAACCAATAAAAGAACATTTTGCCAGTTTGTAGAAGATTATCAATCAAAATGACCACCTTATCCCTTATTTCTCATTTCCTCTTATCATTGAGATAAAAAATATCATTTCTTTGCCCACCCAATCATTTACCCCCCTCCCCCACCTCTAACTCCTCCAACCCTCCTTAAAAGGCAAATAGGGGCTTAATTGAGCTTTTACGGTTTTACATATGTAATCTATAACATATGTAACCACACCCACCCAACAACTATAACTTCATATTAAATGTTATTATAATATCATGATCACTATTATTTTAGCAAGATTTCCTTTGAGCAGTGAAAAACGAAGCCTGGGGGGGAGGGGAGGGGGTACTTTACAAATTTTTGGGTGGGGATGTGTCACTGGGACCCTGAACCCTTAGCCCGAACCAAAATTAGTTCAGCTCAATTTTGCTATTCTTTACCACACCAAACTGGTCTAAAATTATTTTTGGAAAAAATTTCTCTGTATCTAGTTAGCAGATGAAATATTGTGTCTCATCTTTGATAAAATTGCCAAATCCTGAGGAAATGTCATTTATAATCACTAATGAATATAATTATTCTGGGCTGCAGTGTTTCATTTACCATTGTCCCACAAGAATGAACCCTTTTCCCTTCTCTTCCCAGAGATGAATCTCGTTTGTAAAATTGAATGACGTATGTACTACTCAATGGAATCTTGTGTTTGAACTTAATTTGTAAGTAGTACAAATAAGCCTCTAGATTTATTTTCAAATTTGCCTAAATATGATTTTTTTTGGAACAAAATAATCCAATTTGAAAACAAAACTTGCTTAATTTAGGAAAACTTTGAAAATAAGCGCCTCTCCAGTTGCTAAATTGAACTGGATGATGACTAATTTACTTTAAAAAATAAAAAAGCTGTTGATAAAATTGGCTCAGTGACACTTATTTGTACAAATATGGTGGCACACACACATATATCAGTTTCCTTGTAGTACAGATACCTTAAGTATTCCCTCCAATAGTGAAGTACAGAATTCCTAATTAAAATTTGACCTCACTACATATTCAGCAATCTACTCTACAGCTGAAATGTGCTGAAGATCCTAAAGTGATTGAACTTTGATTGGATAAAAAAAAAAAGTAGATTGTCTTTGAATTTGGAAAGCTGTAAACTACGAGTAGAAGTCAAAGGAAAAATATTGCAAGTGAATCAATTCACTCCTGTTGGGAATACCATGGACCTGTTTTCACTAATGCATGAAGTCTTATTTGTGGAGAAAGTCAATATTCTTCGGTTTTTGTTTTCCGTTTTTGGTGTTTTTTTTCGCTGCCAAACTAAATGAATTCGCCTAATTGCTGTTGAATGGGGGTTGTGGAACAACAGCTGGGTGAAAAACCTCCCCGTACGTCCACTTGCTCCTAGGAGGAAAACCCCGGGCCAGCTGTACCCCGCATTCAATGACCTCCCGGGCAGGGTCAGAAATATTCTAAAACCAAGTACCTGTGTTGAGGCAGGTTACTGGCTGTAACTGTAAGTAATGAATTATATGATTATATAAATATTAAACTAAGTATTAATAATGAGTTGACTTTGATGATACCATCCTCTAGTGATCACAGCCTCTTCACTGCTGGCTTTTGAACTCCTGTATGGAGGCACTGATGAGTCGCTGACCACTTTGCCAAATCTGTTGTTCTTTTCAGCCTAAGAAAAAATAAGAATTCATTTTCACTCATTTTGGCTTGTAGGTATTTATACGAACGGAGTTAAGCAAGGGATGTACCAATAGTTCAATTTGTCTAAGATTGAGTCACAAATGTAAATGGCTTCATAGGAAGAACACATGGTGCACATATGCATCCCTTAAAAAGACTACAAGACTGACTGCAATGAATAAGATGACTAATAAGGTAACCAGGGTGACCTGAATAGCTTTGATAACTGGGATGTACGATGACTGAGGTGACTGGGATGCCTAGCATGAGTGGGGTAACTGGGGTGACTAGAATGACTGGGATGATTAGGATGGTAAGGGTGAATGGGATGACTGTGATGACTAGGATTACTAGGATGGCTGGGATGACTGGTATGATTTGGATGACAGGAATGACCAGGAGGATTAAGATTACTGAGATGGACTGGGTTGAACAGGATGACTAGGGTGACACAGATGGCAGGATTGGCTAAGGTGACTAGGATGATTAAGATGACTTAGGTGACTGGGATGACTGGGATAACTGTGATGACTGGGATAACTGTGATGACTGGGATAACTGTAATGACAGGGATAACTAGAAAAACTGTGATGACTAGGATGATTGGGATGACTAGTATACTAGGACTTGGATGACTTGGATGACTAGGGTAACTGCGATAACTGAGATAACCAGGATGACTGGGATGACCAATGCTGCTGGGATAACTAGAATAACTAGGATAACAGGGGTGACTGGGATGAAAAGGATAGGTAGAATAACTGAGATGACTAGGGTGACTGGGATGATTGGGACAAGTGGGATTACTAGGCTGGCTGGAATGACTTGCATGACCAGCATCAACAGGTGCATGCAAACTCTGCGGTTGACTAGGGTGACTGAGATGACTGGAGTGACAGGGATGGCTGGGATGACTGCGAAGACTAGGATTACTGGGATGACTAGAAGGACTGAGTTGACTGGGATAACTGGGGTGACAGGGACGAAGGGAGTGACTTAGATGATAAGGATGACTTAGCTAGGTGACTGAGATGACTGTGATGACAAGGATAACTTGGGATGATAAGGATGACTTAGCTAGGTGACTGAGATGACTGTGATGACAAGGATAACTAGAAAAAACTGGGATGAATAGGATGATGAGATAACTGAGATTACAAGGGTGTCTGGTATGACTGGGAAGAACAGGATGACTAGGATAGCTGGATTGACTGAAATGATTCGGATGCCGAGAATGACTGGAATGACTAGGATGACAATGATAAAGGGAATGACTAGGATGAGTGGCATCACCGTGGTGACTAAGATGACTAGGATGAATGGAATGAGTGGGATACTAGGATGACTTGGATGACTAGGGTTACTGCGATAACTGAGATAACAAGGATGACTGGGATAACTGTTATGACTAGAATAATAAATTATTATGATGAGAGCATGACTGGGATGACAGGGGTTACTGGGATGATTTGGATGACCAGGATGACTTGCATGATTAGGGTGAATAGGATGACTATTAATGAGATTACTTGGATGGCTGGGACGACTGGGATGACTAAGATGACTGGGATGGCTTGAATGATTAGGATGAATAGGATGACCATTAGTGAGACGACTTGGATGACTAGGGTGACTAGGATGATTAGGAGGAATTAAGTCACTGGGACGACTGGGATAACTGTGATGACAGGGATAACTAGAAAAACTGTGATGACTAGGGTGATTGTGATGACTAGTATACTAGGACTTAGATGACTGGGATGACTTGGATGACTAGGGTAACTGCGATAACTGAGAGAACCAGGATGACTGGGATGACCAATGCTGCTGGGATAACTAGAATAACTAGTATAACAAGGGTGACTGGGATAAAAAGGATAGGTAAAATAACCGAGACGACTAGGGTGACTGGGATAATTGAGATAAGTGGGATTACTAGGATGGCTGGAATGACTTGCATGACCAGGATCAATAGGATGACTAGTATTACTGGGATGACCATGTTAACTGGGGTGACTAGGATGTCTGTGATGAAAAGGATACGTTGAAGAACTTGGGTGACTAGGATGACTACAGCGATGAGATAACTGGGATGACTAGGGTGTCTGGTGTGACTGGGATGAATAAGATGACTAGGATGACTAGGATAACTGGGGTGGCTGAAATGATTAGGGTAAATGGAATGAGTGGGATGACTGGGATGACTAGGGTTACTGAGGTAACTGAGATAACCAGGATGACTGTGATGTCTGGTATGACCAGAGTAACTACAACGAGAGGATGACTGGGATGACAGGGAGTCACTGGGATGACAGGGATAACTAGAATGACCGGGATGACTTGGTTGCAAGGTTTGTATCCTGTTTTGAACAAAAAATTCAAGGACTTCTTAACGACTTTTCAAGGACAAACTTCCTATTCTTCAAGGATTCCAATCATAGCCTTGAGTATATGTCTTTTTTAGTTCTTCCACAACATGGCTGCAAATTTAATTTTTATTCTGAAGGTCTCTCTGTGTTTGCTCCTTTTAGGCACTTGAGAATCTGAGTTGAATAAAGTAAGCACTGAAATTCAAGGACTACTTTCAAGGACTTTCAAGGTGCACGTGAACTCTGAGGTTGACTAGGGTGACTGGGGTGACTGGGAAGACTAGTATTACTGGGATGACTAGAAGGACTGAGTTGACTGGGATGACAGGGATGATGGGTGTGACTGGGATGGCTGGGATGACTGGGAAGACTAGGATTACTGGGATGACTAGAAAGACTGAGTTGACTGGGATAACTGGGGTGACAGGGATGACAGGAGTGACTTGGATGATAAGGATGACTTAGGTAGGAGACTGTGATGACTGTGATGACAAGGATAACTAGAAAAAACTGGGATGAATAGGATGATGAGATAACTAAGATGACAAGCATACCTGGTATGACTGGGATGAATAGGATGACTAGGATAGCTGGATTGACTGAAATGATTCGAATGCCGGGAATGACTGGAATGACTAGGATGACAAAGATAAAGGGAATGACTGGGATGAGTGGCATCATCAGGGTGACTAAGATGACTAGGATGAACGGAATGGGTGGGATACTGGGATGACTTGGATATCAAGGGTCACTGGGATAACTGAGAGAACCAGGATGACTGAGAAGACTGGTATGACTAGAATAACTATGATGGGAGGATGACTGGGATGACAGGGGTCACTGGGATGATTTGGATGACCAGGATGACTTGCATAATTAGGATGAATAGGATGATTATTAATGAGATCTCTTGGATGACTGGGATGACTTAGATGACTGAGATAACTTGCATGATTAGGATGACTAGGATGATTATTAATGAGATGACTTGGATGGCTGGGATGACTAGGATGAATTGGATGACTGGGATGACAAGCCTGATTAGGATGAATAGGATGACTATTAGAGAGATGACTTGGATGGCTGGGATGACTGGGATGATCTGGATGACTGCAATGACTAGAAGGATTAAGATTATTGAGATGACTAGGAGGACTGGGTTGAACAGGATGACTGGGGTCTCGGGAAGGGGGAGAGTGGGGTGTGGGCTGACACAGATGGCTGGGATGGCTAAGGTGACTGGGATGATTAAGATGACTTAGGTGACTGGGACGACTGGGATAATCATGATGACTGGGATAACTGTGATGACAGGGATAACTAGAAACACTGTGATGACTAGGATGATTGGGATGACTAGTATACTAGGACTTGGATGACTGGGATGACTTGGATGACTAGGGTAACTGTGATAACTGAGATAACCAGGATGACTGGGATGACCAATGCTGCTGGGATAACTAGAATAACTAGGATAACAGGGGTGACTGGGATGAAAAGGATAGGTAGAATAACTGAGATGACTAGGGTGACCTGGATGATTGGGATAAGTGGGATTACTAGGATGGCTGGAATGACTGTCATGACCAGGATGGCTAGGATGACTAGTATTACTGGGATGACGAGAATACCTGGGATGAATATGTTGACAGGGGTGACTGAAATGATTCGGATGCCTGAAATGACTAGGATGACAAGAATAAAGGGAATGACTAGGATGAATGGAATGAGTGGCATACTAGGATGACTTGGATGACTAGGGTTACTGGGATAACTGAGATAACAAGGATGACTGGGATGACTGGTATGACTAGAATGTTATGATGAGAACATGACTGTGATGACAGGGGTCACTGAGATGATTTGGATGACCTGAATGATTAGGATGAATAGGATGACTATTAATGAGATGACTTGAATGGCTGGGATGACTGGGATGACTTGCATGATTAGGATGAATAGGATGACTATTAGAGAAATGAATTGGACGGCTGGGATGATTGGGATGATTGGGATGACTTACATGATTAGGATGAATAGGATGACTATTAGTGAAATGAATTGGATGGCTGGGATGATTGGGATGACTGGGATGACTTGCTTGATTAAGATGAATAGGATGACTATTGATTAGATTAGTTGGATGGCTGGGATGACTAGGATGACTGGGATGACTGGGATTCTTTGGATGACTGGAATTACTTCCATGATTAGGGTGACTATTAATGAGATGACTTGGATGGTTGGGATGGTTGGGATGACTGGCATGACTAGGACAACTAGCATGACTAACATGAATAGGCTGACTTGATTTACTGTGATAACAGGGGTGACAGGGATGATTGTGATAAAGGGGAAAAGTATAATAACTGGGGTGACTAGGATGTATGGGGTGATGAGATAATTGAGATAACTATGGTGACTGTGATAACTGTGATGACAGGGATATCTAGGATGACAGGGATGACTAGGGTTACTGGGATGTCTAGGAGGACTGGGTTAACTAGGTAACTGGGGTGACAGGGATGACAGGAGTGACTTGGATGATTAGGATGACTTAGCTAGGTGACTGGGATGACTGTGATGACAAGGATAACTAGAAAAACTGTGATGATGAGATAACTGAGATGACAAGGGTGTCTGGTATGACTGGGGTGAATAGGATAGATAGGATGACTACCGTGTTGCACAAAATTTTTGCAGGTTCTAATTTTTGTGTTTTTTGTAATTTTTCCAACGATCAGCAAAAATAAGTTGTCGCAAATAAAAATTACTGCAAACATTTTTCCCGCAAAAATTTACTTCAGAGTAAATATTATCTAACTTAAATTCGCTACACAAAAATACAGTACTAAGAAATCATGCCTGTTCAATTACAACTTGCCTCTTTCATTCAGATACAAAACGGTATACAATGAATTACTGGTTTTACATAGGGTCTGCATACCATAGTATTGTTTGAAAATAATTATGTATTTCTATTGCATGTACTTAACAAAAATGCAAATATTATCAATGCTGGGTACTGGGTACTTTCTGAAAATCGCAATGTCCTTATCACAAAAATTAGTTCCCACAAAACACAAAAGATCACCAATCCACAAAAATAAACTCCCGCAAAAATTTTGTGCCACACGACAGGATGACTGAGATCACACAGGTTACTAAGATGACTAGAATGAATGGAATGATTGGGTTACTAGGATGACTTGGATGACTGGGGTTACTATGATGAGAGGATGACTGGGATAACAGGGATCACTGGGATGACTGGAATAACATGGATGACCACAATGACTCGCAGGATAAGGATAAATAGGATGACTATTAATGAAATGACTTAGATGGCTGGGATGACTAGGGTTACTATGATGAGAGGATGACTGGGATGACAGGGGTCACTGGGATGACTGGAATAACATGGATGACCGCAATGACTCGCAGGATAAGGATAAATAGGATGACTATTAATGAAATGACTTGGATGGCTGGGATGACTAGGGTCACTATGATGAGAGGATGACTGGGATGACAGGGGTCACTGGAATGACTGGAATAACATGGATGACCGCAATGACTCGCATGATAAGGATAAATAGGATGACTATTAATGAAAATAATAACTTGGATGGCTGGGATAACTGGCATCACTACGCTGAATAGGAGGACTTGGTTTACTGTGATAAAAGGGGTGACAGGGATGATTGTGATGAAAAGGAAAAGTAGAATAACTAGGGTGACTAGGATGAATGGGGTGACTAGGATGACTGGGATGACTAGGGGCGACTAGGATAACTGAGCTGATTAGGATGACTGGGATGACTGGAGTGGCTGGAATGACTGGAATGACTGAGATGACTGGGATAACTATAATAACCACAGAGACTGGGATGACAAGGATGAATGGGTTGACTGAGATGTCTAGGGTAACAGACTCAACAGTGGTGACTTTGTTGACTAGGAGGACTTGCTAGGGTGGGTGCGATAACTAGAATGACTAAAATAATAGGGATACCAAGGATGACTGGGATGACTGGTGACTGGGATGTAACGAGGACTAAGATGACTGAAATGAGTAGGATGACTAGGTTGACTGGGATAACTACAATCATTTAGTAGTCTAATACCAAGTAATAAAGTTTAAAAAAAGCAAAAACTAATACCTAAAATGCCTTAAATCACCAGTGGGGGACCACAATCCTTCTGGCTTCTTGAGATATCATCCCTTTAATTGCAGAAAATGTTCTTGATATCCAACTTGTGATGGGGAAAGAATCTTCAGGAACATCACCAAATGGGAGGGGTTCTGCTAAATGGCCAGAGATACAAGAAATAATACAGGTAAATTTGACTGTCAAGTAGAAAAGAAAAATTACTCTCCCTACCTATGATTATGTGGATGTCCATTTTTCTGCAAAATCGTTTCCTACCAGAATAAATAAATGAAGTCTTCCTTCTTTTCAAAATTCATTGAAGATTTTAACAAAAAGATTTGCCTGCAATACTAAATCTCTATACTCTAGTAATTTTTACATTTTGTGACCTGACAACAGCTTTATGTTGGCTTGTGAAGACATAAATTTTTTAAGGAAATAAGAAAAGCAATTACTAATAAAATGGCTGTGCAACAACAGCTGGGTGATTATAACCACCGCAAATGTGCACTTCCACATCAAAGAAAAACCCTGAGCCAGCTTAACCCCACACTCAGGGCACTTTCCCAAACTCAGAACTGGCTGGCTGGACCATGGCTAGACTGGTCATTTTGACAATGAAATAGGCTTTTACGAAGAGTTTTTGCTGAAAAACCATCTCCTTTGTGCATGCTAGTTAGGATATGTCTGACTGAATAGTTTTGATTAAAAGTGAAATTCTCATTAGGACAAGAATGCTCTGGCCAGTAAGTTCTGACAGATGCAAAGCACCCTCAGTGACCTCCCAGGCTGGGTCATAGACAGAGTGTAAAACCAAGTCTCAGTAATGAAGTAGGGTAACTATTAGTAATAAATTCTTCCTGACAGCATGCAAACCATAGGGAACCCAAGCTATTATTTGTAAACTACAAATGGAAATTAAAAAAGAGATAAAATCTTACCTGTTTTGTTCTACTCTTGAATCTGCTGCCGTGCAAAGTGAAATGGCAGTTGTTTTACGATGTGAAAACGATGTTCAAGTCGACGCTTTGACTGTTGTTGATTTCACAAAGCAATGCTTTATGCGGTTTGTCTCGCATTTATCTGTTGATCTACTCTGACCAGTTTGCCTCGTTGTCTTTTTCTGCCTGAAAAAATAAATAAACCATTTTTATCAGCACATAAACTGGTGCTGATAAGATAGTCACTTCTCGCAAAAAATGACAACACTCCTTGCAATCCATATTTAAACACCTTATGAACATAAATAAAGGATAATGACATTTCCTAGATGGAGAGGATCAACCATTTAGATATAAGAAGTGGGAACACTTTGACAATAAGTGACCTTAAAAAATGGTGTTTTGAAATAATGTCAGGACTTAGGTGTGATAATGTTCCATTTAACAGCACAATAGCTTAAAAACTAATGGCTGTCACTCCTTTCTTAAACCCACTTATAGATGTTTGGATATCACATATAATATCTGCTTTATGTCTAATGACCAAATCCAAACAATGCTTGTTCTCAAACCATTAACTCTACAGTAGAGAATTAACTCTTGTCTCAAGTATGATAATAAACATTTAAAATACCCTTCAGCAATAAAACACAGGGGCATAGCTAGGATTTTTGTAGAAAAGGTATGCACAATTTTCCAAAAAAACCCTCCGCACATCCTTAAAGCGCAAATCTTTTTCAGGTTTCTTGATTAGAAGAAGCTACATTGTAAGCTGAAACATTATTTATTTATTTCATTTTTATTTTAATCAATATTTATCCAGGGGCATCCAGTTTAGCAGAGCTAGTTTAAATGGAACCCTGACACAACACAAAAACAAAGACATTAAAACATTAACACTAGACAATTAATTAAGTTACAAAGGCAACATGTACCCTAGGCATTACTGTTTAAAATGGCCCTTTAGCTTGATTTTAAATTCACTGAGGGTCTCTACTTGTCTAACGATTCTTGGTAGGGTGTTGTAGGTCCGAGCACCGTTAATTCTGAAGCTACCTTGGTATTTACTAGTTTTTTGCGAAGGGAGGGCACAGCAAATCATGGCTTCTGGTGTTATAGCCATAGAAAACGTGCACGTGCCTAAACCCTGTAAGTAAGTACGAAGGCACTATTCTGTGAAGACACTTATGGACTAAGACGCATTTGAGATAATTTCTGCATAATTTCTGGGCCAGCCAAGTGTTGATTTTAAGTCTTCAGCCCTGATAGATCGACCTTCAATAATACATGCGGCACGTCTATTTAGTGTATCCCAGACAGGTGAACAGTAATCAAACAATGGCAAGGCTTAAGTATTGTATAGCATTTGACAAGTTGGCTTGGGAAGAACCTTACGTGCTCGACACAGAATACCTAATCAAGACGATATCTTTTTAACAATATATTTTATGTAGTCCTTCCAAGATAGGGTGTTGTCTAGGAGGAACCCAAGATGTTTAAACTTGTTAACTCTTTCTAAACATGTGCAGGGTTGTCAAAATGCACCAGCAACCGGCGCTATCACAGGCTACTTTATGGTTATTGCACCTGTAACCTAGGAAAAACATATCTCTACTGATATCTGTTCCCCTACCTTAGAAACACATATCCCTAGTGATATATGTTCCCCTACCTGGGAAACACATATCCCTAGTGATCTGTCTACCACGATCTAGGAAACAAGTATCCCTAAAGATTTATGGTCCCCTACCTGGGAAACACATATCCCTAGCAAATTGTGTTCCCCTACCTGGGAAACGCATATCCCTAGTGATATGTGTTCCCCCACCTGGGAAACACGTATCCCTAGTGATTTATGTTCCCCTGTCTTGGAAACACATATCCCTGGTGATATGTGTTCCCTACCTGGAAAACGCATATCCCTAGTGATATGTGTTCCTGTACCTGAAAAAAACCTATTCCTAGTGATAGGTGTTCCCCTACCTTGGAAACATATATCCCTAGTGATATGTCTTTCCCTAACTCCAAAAAATATATCCCTAGAGATACGTGTTCCCCTACCTGGGAAACACATATCCCTAGTGATATGTGTTCCCCCACCTGGGATACACATATCCCTGGAGATATGTGTTCCCCACTTGGGAAACACATATCCTAGTGATATGTGTTCCGCCACCTGGGAAACACATATCCCTGGTGATATGTGTTCCCCTACCTCGGAAACATATATCTCTAGTGATATGTGTTCCCCTAACTGGGAAACACATATCCCTAGTGATATGTGTTTCCCAGGTGGGGGAACACATATGACTAGGGATATGTGTTTCCCAGGTCGGGAAAAACATATCTCTAGTGATATGTGTTCCCCTATCTGAGAAACACGTATCCCTAGGGATACGAGTTCTCCTACCTGGGAAACACATATCCCTAGTGATATGTGCTCCCCTACCTGGGAAACATATATCCCTAGTGATATGTGTTCTCCTACCTGGGAAACACATATCCCTAGTGATATGTGTTCTCCTACCTCGGAAACATATATCCCTAGTGATATGTGTTCCCCTACCTGGGAAAGACATATCCCTAGTGGTATGTGTTCCCCCACTTGGGAAACATATATCCCTAGTGATATATGTTCCCCTACCTGGTAAACACATATCCCTAGGGATACATGTTACCCTACCTGGGAAACACGTATCCCTAGTGATATGTGTTCCCTCACTTGGGAAACATATATCCGTGGTGATATGTGTTGCCCTACCTCGGAAACATATATTCCTAGTGATATGTGTTCCTCCACCTGGAAAGCACATATCCCTAGTGATATGTGTTACCCTTCCCAGGAAACACGTCATCAGTGATATGTGTTAACACATCATCAGTGATATGTGTTCCCCAACCTGGGAAACACATATTCCTTGTTATATGTCTTCCCCTACCTGCACAACACATATGTATAGTGATATGTTTTTCCCTACCCAGGAAACACATATCCTTAGTGACATGAGTTGTCCTACCTATAGAAAGTAAAAAGATGTAGGTGACAACATTCATCCTTTTCTTTATATGTAGAGGATTGGCATAATTTGTCATTAATTTTAACTGCTGATTTATTATTTGAGTACATGGATATTAAGCATAATCTTTGTTTTTTCAAGATTAAGTATTAGAAAATTGGCATGAAGCCAGTTTACAACATTACCGTAGTTAGACCACTAGTTAACTGAGCTTGTATTTCATTGACTGACTTGCTTTCTTTTTAAACTGTATATTAAACTGTATATAAGTTATCCTTGCCATCCCAGTTATCCTTGTCATTGAAGTCGTTAAATTCATCCAAGTCATGCTAGTCATCCTGCTCATCCCAGTTGCCCCAATCATCCTAGTTATCCCAGTCATTCCAGCCACCACAGTCATTCCAGTCATCCCCATCATCCTACACATGACCCAGACATCCCAAACATCCCAGTCATCAAAGTAATTATAGTAATCAAAGTCATCACAGCCATCCCAGTAATCACAGTAATCCCTATTATACTAGTCATTGTAGTGATCTCAGACATCCCACTCATCAAAGTGATTTTAGTCATAGAGTTATCTTAGCCATTTCAGTAAACCGAGTTATATCAGTCACCCTAGTCATCCAATTCATCTCAGTCATCCCAGTCATCCTAATCATCTGAGTCACCCCCGTCATCATCCAAGTGATAACAGTCATCCTAGTCATCCCCGTTTAAAGTCATCATAATTCTAGTCATACTAGTTTTCCCAGTCCCTCTTGTTGTCCTAGTCATCCCAGTCACCACAGTCATCCCAGTCACCCTGGTCATCCCATAGATGCTGCATAAATTTTCCACTTGAATCCTCTTCGCTAGCGCGCCTGTTATTTCTTACTCTAAGCCTTTCTCTTCTTCTTTCCCGTCGCTTTTCACTTACAAGCAAATAGTTTGAATCCAATCCGCTATTTCTCTTCTTCTTTCCCGTCGCTTTTCACTTACAAGCAAATAGTTTGAATCCAATCCGCTATTGTTCGTTGGCATAACAATTTCTTCGAAACAGTTTACACGAAAACACAAAATCCTTATGCAATGAAGTAGTTCCGTTGAAGTAATTGAAGTAAACATGTTTTTGAACTCGACAACAGCCACGTCATTTATTGCGCGATTTCCCGCCAAGAAACAGGTGGGTTGCACAAATGAACCACGCGATTAACTACATACTCCTCCCCCGGACGGGCTGACACCTGATTCCCTTCCCTCCCCGACAAAGAGTGTACGGGCGTACGCTACGTCATAACCCAATTTTCTCGGATGGATGGTTTACCAAATTTTATTACCCATGGTGCTCCGCTGGCGCGCTTCGCGCGCCGGAGCTCCGCTATGATTGCTGTGTTTAATAAATTGACATTTAAGTGACCAGGTCTACATTGAGCTTTAGGTATCGAATATACAAAATAACGAACGGCCAACGGGAAATGTTCGATCATTGTCTGCTGGTCATGATTACTACCCTACGAACAGAGTCTCCTTCGATCTTCCTAGTCTCTCAGTTCTACTTCCAATAAATTATATATAAAAGGGAAGTTAATTACTTTTGCATTCTTCTCCTTGAGTCTCGTTTTGACATCTCAGCTTCGTAATAAAGTATTAGCCCTGTCCTTTAAATGCTTTTCCTTAGGTCAGTTTGTTCGTATGTTAAGTGACGTTTCGTTCATAAATTCGAGACCACTAATGTTAACAGTTGTGCAGTTTAGTTTTGCCATGTTTTATCCCGCAATTTTCCTTACGTTATGCTTGTCTTAGCCTTATTAGATTATATCATACGTTTATTTTTCAACAAACCATAGTAACCTTATGTTTATGATGCTTTTTCGTACATTCATCGTCCGCTTCTACGTGGATTAATTCATTTGTAATATTAGTTTTACTTTTGTTTTCCGTAAGTCGTTTCGTTCTTACGTATAACTAAATGAGGATTTACAATTGTTTTTACAGCGCATGTTAATTCATTTTTCACCTTATAAGAATCGATTGTCCTTTCCACATATTTAACATTTGTAAAGTATCGTTGTGATTTAACACTTCACTGGTCAGCATGCGCCTTGTCTGCGTGAAGATAAGACTGCGCCTACCTGTCATTTTTTTCAGACCCGGTGCTTACATGTATATCCTCATTTGGCGGCCACTAAAAAAACCCTCCAACGAGCCTTTACGTAAAGTAAAAACTTATTATTGTAGCGTCTCAGAATGTTGCAGTTTTCTTTAATAAAGACGTGATCATCATAAAACCGCTAATGATAGCTGTACTCTTGATGAAGATTGCTTTTTGGGGCGGTAATGCCTTTTGGAAAACGGTAGAAGTTGCACTTCAAAAACTTCTTGTGGGGGGGGGGGGCTCCATGACTGCTGGCAGCTTCCCCGGCTACTAACAACAAATACCCGGCAACTTAAAATCTTAGTGACAACCCTGCATGTGTTCTCCTAGTTCTGAAACATATACCCCTAGTGATACGTGTTTCCCTACCTGGGAAACACATATCCCTAGTGATATGTGTTCCCTGACCTGGGAAACACATATCCCTTGTGTTATGTGTTCCCCCACCAAGGAAAAACGTATCCCTAGTGATATGTGTTCCCCCACCTGAGAAACACGTATCCCTAGAAAGATGTGTTCCCCCACTTGAGAAACACATATCCCCAGTGATATGTGTTCCCCCACCTGGAAAAAAAGTATCCCTAGTGATTTATGTTCCCCTATCTTGGAAACACATATCCCTATTGATATGTGTTCCCCACCTAAAAAACGCATATCCCTAGTGATATGTGTTCCTGTACCTGAAAAAACCTATCCCTAGTGATGGGTGTTCTCCTACCTTGGAAACATATATCCCTAGTGATATGTCTTTCCCTAACTCAAAAAAATATATCCCTAGAGATACGTGTTCCCCTACCTGGGAAACACATATTCCTAGTGATATGTGTTCCCCCACCTGGGAAACAAATATCCCTAGTGATATGTATTCCCCCACCTGGGAAACACATATCCCTGGTGATATGTGTTCCCCTACCTCGGAAACATATCCCTAGCGATATGTGTTTCCCTACCTGGGAAACACATATCCCTAGTGATATGTGTTCCCCTACCTCGGAAACATATCCCTAGCGATATGTGTTTCCCTACCTGGGAAACACATATCCCTGGTGATATGTGTTCCCCTACCTTGGAAAGACGTATCCCTAGTAATATGTGTTTCCCACTTCGGAAACACATTTCCCTAGTGATATATGTTCCCCTACCTGGGAAACACGTATCCCTAGTGATATATGTTCTCCTCCCTGGGAAACACATATCCCTAGTGATATGTGTTCCCCCACCTGGGAAACACATATCCCTAGTGATATGTGTTCTCCTACCTCGGAAACATATATCCCTAGCGATACGTGTTTCCCTACCTGGGAAACACATATCCCTAGTGATATGTGTTCCCTGACCTGGGAAACACATATGTCTAGGGAGATGTGTTCCCCTACCTGGGAAACACATATCCCTAGTGATATTTGTTCCTCCACTTGGGAAACGTATATCCGTAGTGATATGTGTTCCCCCACCTGGGAAACACATTATCGCTGGTGATATGTGTTCCCCTACCTCAGAAACACATACCCCTAGTGATATGTGTTCCGCTACCTGGGAAAGACATATCCCTAGTGATATGTGTTCCCCTTCCTAGGAAAGGCATATCCCTAGTGATATGTGTTCCCTCACTTGGGAAACACATATCCCTAGTGACATATGTTCCCCTACCTGGGAAACACGTATCCCTGGTGATATATGTTCCCCCATTTGGGAAACACATATCCCTAGTGATATGTGTTCCTCGACCTGGAAAACACATATCCCTTGTGATATGTTTTTCCTATCAGGGAAACACATATTCCTAGTGAGATGTGTTCCCCTAACTGGGAAACACATATCCCTAGTGATATGTGTTCCCCTACCTGGCAAACACATATCCCTAGTGATATGTGTTCCCCCTCCTCGGAAACACGTATCCCTATTGATTTATTTTCCCCTTCCTGGGAAACACATATCCCTAGTTATATGTTTTCCCCCACCTGGGAAAGACATATCCCCAGTGATATATTTTCCCCTACCTGGGAAACACATATCCCTAGTGATATGTGTTTCCCCACCTGGGAAACACGTATCCCTAGTGATATGTGCTCCCCTACCTGGGAAACACATATGCCTAGTGGTATGTGTTCCCCTACTTGAGAAACACATATCCCTTGTCATATGTGTTCCCCTATTCATGAAACCCATATTCCTAGTAATATGCGTTTCCCTACCTGGGGAACACGTATGCCTAGTGATATATGTTCCCAAACCTTGGAAATAGGTATCCCTACCTGGGAAACACATCTTCCTAGTTATATATGTTTCCCTACCTGGGAAACACATATTCCTAGTGATATGTGTTCCTCGACCTGGAAAGCACATATCCTTAGAGATAGATATTCCCAGGAAACATGTCATCAGTGATATGTGTTAACACATCACCAGTGATATGTGTTCCCCAACCTGGGAAACACATATTCCTTGTTATATGTCTTCCCCTACCTGCACAACACATATGTATAGTGATATGTTTTTCCCTACTCAGGAAACACATATCCTTAGTGACATGAGTTGTCCTACCTATAGAAAGTAAAAAGATGTAGGTGACAACATTCATCCTTTTCTTTATACGTAGAGGATTGGCTTAATTTGTCATTAATTTTAACTGCCGATTTATCATTTGAGTACATGGATATTAAGCATAATCTTTGTTTTTTCAAGATTAAGTATTAGAAAATTGGAATGAAGCCAGTTTACAACATTACCGTAGTTAGGCCACTAGTTAACTGAGCTTGTATTTCACTGACTGACTTCCTTTTTTTTTAAACTGTATATTAAACTGTATATTATAAGTTATCCTTGTCATCCCAGTCATTGAAGTCGTTAAATTCATCCAAGTCATGCTAGTCATCCTGCTCATCCCAGTGGCCCCACCACAGTCATTTCAGTCATCCCCATCATCCTACACAACCCAGACATCCCAAACATCCCAGTCATCAAAGTAATTATAGTAATCAAAGTCATCACAGTCATCCCAGTAATCATAGTAATCCCTATTATACTAGTCATTGTAGTCATCTCAGACATCCCACTCATCAAAGTCATTTTAGTCATAGAGTTATCTTAGCCATTTCAGTAAACCGAGTTATATCAGTCACCCTAGTCATCCAATTAATCTCAGTTACCCCAGTCATCCTAATCATCTGAGTCACCCCCGTCATCATCCAAGTGATAACAGTCATCCTAGTCATCCCCGTTTAAAGTCATCATAATTCTAGTCATCCCAGTTATCCCAGTCCCCCTTGTTGTCCTAGTCATCCCAGTCACCACAGTCATCCCAGTCACCCTGGTCATCCCAGTCATCTTAGCTTAGTCATCCCGGTTATCATTGTCATCTCAGTCACCTTCTGGTAATTCGGCAGAGTGTGAAGTAAAGGGTTCGCAATGCTCAGAAATGTATCAAAGTGGATATTTTTCGGACAAGATTGGGCATGCTAAGTCTGTAGGTTTTCGGTTTAATTTGGCTATTTGACGAAAAGAAAGCCGAATTAGTTCGAGATGTCTCGAAATCACTTCGATTTCTTTGATTTATTCTTTAACTTATTCGAGGAAGAAAGAATTAATATTTTGACTTTCCTGGGGTTTGAACCGACTCACCTGTGTGACCCGTCAGATCAAAGGAGACTCTAAGTTGAGGGATTACGCTACTGTGACCCAAGGTAGTTTGGGATTTGAAAAATAGCTATGAAATTATGCACTAGTTTGGGGACAAAATTGGTCGCGCAAGTTCGTGACTTTTCGGCTTGTTTTGGCTATTTCACAAAATGAGACCACACTACTTCGTGTATTCTTGAGATCACTTCAAGTTTAGTCTTTAATTTACTCGAGGAATAAATAGAGGATATTACATGGCCACGCAAAGACATGAAATTTCTCTTCGAGTGTTGAAAAACATTTCACGAGTGAGCGCTCCTTTGAACTGTTTTATGATGAACTTAAAGTTGCAAAATGCTGCCCAAAGATTTTTGTCTTTGTTGAGTGTTACGTGGTGAAATTGCTTTCATGCGTTGCGTGACTTTCTCGAACGTTCTCTACGTTTTTGGATTATTCATGAATAATTAATTAGGCATGTTTACATTTCAGCATGAGTCAGCAGATTTGCATCAGTTACTGAAATCATAAAATATGTCGAAAAGCTACTACTATTCACTTGTTTAGTATTTTCTAGAACCTTATGTCAAATGGTATACAAGTTCCAGGCAAGTTCTTTTGACAAACAGTTTTTTCCCACGAGCTGGAGCGCTGTGTTTAGTCAAGTGTGACAAAGGTTGATTTTCAAGTTCTGTGTTTACAAATTGGCAGAACCTGTAAGATATCTGAAGTTCAAGTGAGAGTTTGTTATTATTAGCAGAGGCTGTTTAGTTTTACTTAAGTTCAAGTCAAGTTTGTGTTGGCAGATGCTGTGTTTTAAAGCTCTGTAGAGACTATGCTTTTTTGGTATTAATCTTCCTTATGTTAATCCGACATCCCTGCATGCTGATAGTCAGTGAATAATTATCCTCAAAACAATTGAACTCATAACATTGAGTTTTAGCCCATTCCATGCTCAACGTTATTGACTCTTTACCCACGCCCTTACATATCTTTATTCAGTACATGAGACTGCTATATATGCTATTTTTGAAGCCTGATGTAAGTAAAATAGAGAATTCTTTTTTCACTGTTTGTTTTGTTAGACTTGTTATTCACCGCAAGTAACCTTATATTTGACTTAGGACTAAACGTTTAGACCCAAGTCAAATTTAGAAGGATTTGTATAGAGTCATCAGAGCATAACTGCGCTAATATCTCGCAGACAATTTGCCCCGAAATGCTAGTTTTTGGCAAGTAGGCCTCTTGGATGTTGCTCTTTTCAGAATATCCTGACAAATCCCATAATTTCACAAATTAACACCTTACTCTTACCACATTTCATTTCTTACTATTCCTCCGCATTTACAATAACATACTTTGACCTTTTCAAGGGACTGGATAAATGNGGAGCGCTGTGTTTAGTCAAGTGTGACAAAGGTTGATTTTCAAGTTCTGTGTTTACAAATTGGCAGAACCTGTAAGATATCTGAAGTTCAAGTGAGAGTTTGTTATTATTAGCAGAGGCTGTTTAGTTTTACTTAAGTTCAAGTCAAGTTTGTGTTGGCAGATGCTGTGTTTTAAAGCTCTGTAGAGACTATGCTTTTTTGGTATTAATCTTCCTTATGTTAATCCGACATCCCTGCATGCTGATAGTCAGTGAATAATTATCCTCAAAACAATTGAACTCATAACATTGAGTTTTAGCCCATTCCATGCTCAACGTTATTGACTCTTTACCCACGCCCTTACATATCTTTATTCAGTACATGAGACTGCTATATATGCTATTTTTGAAGCCTGATGTAAGTAAAATAGAGAATTCTTTTTTCACTGTTTGTTTTGTTAGACTTGTTATTCACCGCAAGTAACCTTATATTTGACTTAGGACTAAACGTTTAGACCCAAGTCAAATTTAGAAGGATTTGTATAGAGTCATCAGAGCATAACTGCGCTAATATCTCGCAGACAATTTGCCCCGAAATGCTAGTTTTTGGCAAGTAGGCCTCTTGGATGTTGCTCTTTTCAGAATATCCTGACAAATCCCATAATTTCACAAATTAACACCTTACTCTTACCACATTTCATTTCTTACTATTCCTCCGCATTTACAATAACATACTTTGACCTTTTCAAGGGACTGGATAAATGACTGTTTAAATTTTGACAAATCAAAATCTGTAATTCATCTATTTAGTTCTTTGTTATTTTTGTCAGTTAAAGTTAAGTTATTTTGATTGTATAATACACATGTACATGTACAACTTGTCATTTTATTTTTTATTTTTTATTTTTTTCTCGTCATTTTATACTTTTGTTTCAACAGGCTAGATTGCTCTACCTGTCAAGATTAGCCCCTGCTATTTGTGGGAAAAGCAGTATGTAACTGTTTGTCTTTGCAGTCGAATAAACATTCAGTGTTGTTTGGCAGATATATCCTTGACTGAATGACTGGTTGATAATTGACTGACTGACTGACTGGCCAAGTTGCCAATGTCTGATTAGTTGATCATTGACTGACTGACTGACTTAATGACTGAAAAATTTCATTCTCTCACTACAGAACTGTAACTGATTAGTTGATCATTGACTGACTGACTGACTGAAAAATTTCATTGTCTCAAAACAGAACCGTAACTGTTTGGCTTGTGATAGATTATCTAGCTGTAACTTAATTGGTATTAATTTTTTTCTCAAAATCCACAAAATAATAAACATCCTTTCTTTTCATTACGTTAAGTATTTTTTCAAGGGTGGCATTTATTGATATTTTGCTTCTACAGTATCTGTGGCATTTAATCAAGAATGACTACATGGTATCATGTTACAGGTCAAAATTAAATTCAGGTTACCTTTTCTAAACCTAGGTTGATTCTCTATAGAGTACTAAAGTGATGACGTCATAAAAATGAAATTTCTGAAATTATGGGATTTGTCAGGATATTCGGAAAGAACAATGTCCAAGAGGCCTACTTGCCAAAAATGAGCATTTTGCGGCAAATTGTCCCTGAGATCGTAGCCCAGTTATAGTCAGAAAACTCCATACAAACCCTTCTAATTTTTTTTTGGGTCGACCCAAAAAAAATTTAGAAGGGTTCGTATGGAGTTTTGTAAGCATAACTGGGCTACGATCTCAGAGACAATTTGCCCCCAAATGCTCATTTTTGGTAAGTAGGCCTCTTGGACATTGTTCTTTCAGAATATCCTGAGAAATCCCACAATTTCAGAAATTTCATTTTTATGACGTCACACTTTAGTACTCTATTCCATTCGTCTCCTATCCCTAATTCCTGGGGAGAGGGGGGGTGGGGGAAGGGTACTGCCATATATGGGCTATATAGGTATGTGCCACTGTGAAGGGTATGATTTTAAAGCTGTTCACTCTGGGATAGGGTATATAAATCAGAGCGCTTAAAGTCTAGAATGGGGTATCATTTTCCAGGAAACTGATCAATTGGTTGAAGATTTTGGACTACACTCTTTAGGGAAACCCGGGATTGCCACTCAAAAATATAAAAAAATCAAATCAGCAAATTTATATTTATGCAACTCAGCCTACTCAGCAACTCAGGATCACAGCGGCACACCCCACCCAAAAATTCCTTAAGTAACCCCCTTAATTATAAACAGGAGACAAAGGAACTTGAGAATCAAACTACAATCCTGGTCAAAACGTTTGGCACACTTTGTGTTTCAGGTGAGGAAAATGTAATTCAAGTTGACCCCCCTCCCCTTAACCTTAACTTCAGAGTGTTGGGTGTTACAAGCCAAACACTTTTTACATATTTTGCATATGGTAAGGACCTCAACTTCGTTTGGGGGGTGGAGGAAAAATCTTGTTTAGGCCATTGTCATGAGTGTATATCGCAGGTTAGCTGTAAATTCCATAGAAAAACACGTNAGCGTGATGTGTGTGGAGTGCACAGATGTGCTCTTTCGCTATAGTGTATATAGCGCGTGAGATGTATATTCCATAGAAAAAAACGCGAGAAAGAGAGAGTGTCTCAAAACATTTTTGCGAGAAACATATGTAAAAAAAAAAATAATATGTATATATTTTTGTCTTGTAACATATATATATATATATATATATATATATATATATATATATATATATATACATAAATTATATGCACATCTCATTATTACTGTAAGAAAGTTAGAAGAGTTGTTTACCTTGTCTTCAGAGCTGCCTTTTCTAGCTGATCTTGTTTTCTGATTGTACCTCATTGTCCTCAAGGTTGCCATGCAATTCTTCTTCATCAAGACTCCCACATAATAATAAAGGTGACGAAATGTAGGCTGTCTGGCTGAAACAAAATATCATTGATAAAAATTAACTTGAACTGGCACAATTTTTTAAAGAATAGAGCTTTAAAAGAGTTAATTGGAAAACTCAAAAGTAAATCATAGCTCAATTGACCCTTCCACAATGTTTTCAACTTTTGACTGGGACCAGTTAGTGAAAAACTGTCAACACATGGATGGAAAGAATGCATTATAATCAGTAAAGTTGCAAAGTTTGAAAGTGAATAGTTGAAAACTAATGAGGATATGTAGAATGAGGATGTGAACCGCAAAAATACAAATTTAAAATAAGATATGATCATTGAAGATGGATTTTATACATTGTAATTTACGCGATTCCAAATTAAATTGTCTGGCAATTTCAAGATTTTCTAATTAACAATGAGATTTGGAGTCTAAATCACGATACCATGAGTTAACAGCCCGAACTGTGAGTCTCACAGTCAAACCATGACGGTTGGAAGGTCTGTCATGGGGTCGCGCCAGTCACCTATTGGCCAATTTTTTCCCTGTCACTAGTTACAGTCCCAGAAGTCTTAGCTTGCGAGCATGCTCTCCGGGTGGTCAAGCAGCAGGGAGGGAAAGGAAGGAGAGCTTGCAACTACGTCTCTGGAATTTGAATATCTACATCGAAAAGGCGATGAGAGATGCTGATTGGCAGATATGACATTAGTAATGACATCAATACCCTTAATTGGCATGTGCTTTTCAAAGTTTGTTTACACGCATTTGTGCTCATTCAGCTTTGCGCTGATTGGCGGAAATCTGACAGCTCAGTAAATGGGGAGCGACCTTGGAATTAGAGGTGGAATTCAAATTCTACAGACGTAGTTGCAAGCTCTCCTTCCTTTTCCTGCCCAGAGAGCTTACATTCAGGCTAAAGACGTCCTCACAAAAGTTAACTCTGTGCAGTTTCCTTTTCGTTTCTAAAATGACAAGTACCGAGGCACCTCAAAGTCGGTCTTGAACAATTCCACTTCACCTCACTTTTCTACTAACAACTTGGAGTCTTGGTGTCTGTCCCTGAGTAGCCTGAGTAGCAAGCATTTCCATTTGATTTCAGTGCAAAAAAAGACAGAGGAAAGGGATTTTTGGTTTTGCATATGAGACAAGAGCCAAAACTGAAAGAGCGGGACCTCAGGAAGGAAGGAAACACTGTCTTGTAGACAAAACCCAGGATTTTGAAGACCTCTGCTCGCCAGCGAATGGAGCACCTGATTGGCTCAGCTAGTCAAAAATATTGACATGTGTCAATCAAAGATATGTTTCATACTGAGAGGTCATGACAGGCATATTAATTTTCCGGTGTATGACATTTGCAGACTGCAGACTACAGACCACAGATTGCAGATTGTAAATTAAATGACACCAAAAATCTTCCTAATAAAGGTGACATCATCAAAAATAATTATAACATCGTGTGAAAGTGAGAAAGTAGCCTGGGAACAAGGCTGCTGTTGGCTATTCTTCACCGACCCTTTACTTACCGGGCATATCACTAATTGCGTTGATTCTTTATTCTTCTTTGATTATTGTGAATTGATAATGACAAGTAGCAACAAATGCCTATCTTAATAGTAGTCTTCTGTAAAAAACGTTTTTAGATTGCGAGCACTTCGTGCTCAATACAGTTACGTCAACAAAAACAACTAGGATAGATCAAGGAAATTTAACGCCTTTTAAATGACGTACTTCATCTTAGCAGTATATTAAAGGGATATGCCAAATAATCCAAAACGAACAGATCCTACCTGGACTCAACAAATTACATGTACCAGAAGTGCATTTTGAATTTCTAAATAGGCAAATCATTGCTCATACTCAAGTCCAAGTACAAAAGTGGGGAGGCCCCCGTAGAATAAGGATTCCGGCGCTGTTTCACAGACAGACTTATATAACCATAGTTTTGTTTCGTCTGTGGTGAGGCTAAATTGCTAGGCTGTTGCTATGGATTCATGAGCAAATTTGTGACATCGGCAGTCATTATTCTGCTCTAATTCAATACAAAAAGAACAGCCAACAGCTCCTTTAGGAATGAGGTCCGAGTAATTTGAGTGAAAAATATAAACTTCGCTTCTGGACCTTACTTCTCAGAACAAGGTAATGTTGATGAAGACGCCACCTTTATTATGATAGTTTTGGTTTCATTCACTTTACAGTCTTGCTGCCTAATGCAGTCTGCAGTCTGCAAATGTCATACACCGTTAATTTTCTGCAGTTATTGTTTATTCTGGTCCGCAAGATTTCCCCTCTAATATGCAAGAGCATTTTCTTTGACCTCTTTTGAAATGTAAAGCTCTTCTTGCGACTAAATAAGTCAAATAAGGGTTTCAGGTTGTTTAATATACACTCCAAAGTGCCTCCTGCATCAGAAACACTAAGAGCAATTTTCTTTTGTCCACAATGGTTTCCTGCAATGTTTTGTCACGCTGGGCCCAGCTTGCTCGTTAGTGTTTTTTTGTGGGATGTTAAATTCTCTCAGATAGTGATTTGCAGATCCAAATTACGAAGAATGGATTGCACCTTAAACTGAAGCTACATCAACAATGGCAAATTGCACTGTGACTCAGTCAAGATTGCTCTTTAAGCAATGATTACTTGGTAATAACTTTTGAATTAGCTTAACAGTATTGTGACTGTTCTGTTATTGCCACTTTCTGATCAGGCAAGACCATAGTTTTGGTTCTCCACCATTTCCGCTGTCCACCTGTTGCTTTTGAAATATAAAGAAACTTTATTTTGGTTCCACAAGTGTCCTCAAAATTTCATTTCCCCTCCACAGAAGACAAAAAATATTATTGGTCAATTTATGACAGCTAATGACGGCATCAAATGTCAGTGTGTGCACTCAGGCATGAAAAGTGGGCGGTTTCAAAATTCTGGGGATTGTCTGCAAGCTTTTCCTTCCTTTCTTCTCCACCCCCCACTCCCCACTCTTTTACTCGCACCATTTTTCGCACTGTCTTTGACTCTCATTTCCAGTTCCTTGCTCCAAAGCCGCAGGGAAACCCTTGCTCCGCAGGCTTGTTCCTGAACCACATCCTCACCCAAAAATTCCTTAAGTTCTCCCACCCAACC